AGAAGAAAACGCCAGCAAGAAGTCTGGCGAGCTTCTTCTCCCTCTCCAAATCTGGCGAGCATGAAGGGTCTCCTAGATTTAAGCGAGCAAACTAGCTAGTCGGTTGGAGTAGATTTTTGGAGCTTGTCTTGCCAAAATAGCTAAGAATGGAGATTTAGCTAATGGGTTGGAGTTGCCTTAATAATATAGAGAATCTAAATTGGCTCTCCACATTCGGAGAGCCTAGTACAATCTCTATTCTATTTTTAATGAATAGAAAGATGACACATATATATTCTTGATTAAATGTTTTGACTATTAGACTATTTTTCTACTAGAATCAAGAGTCCAATTGAGTTGTGCAAAAAATCTCAATCTTTATTTCAAAATTTCATCAAAGATACTCTCAATTTTTAAAAAAAAATGCTCGATAAAATGGAGAACACTATTAGAGATGTTGTAAAAATAGAATAGAGAGTAAGTTGAAATCTCCACATTTAGAGAGCCAAATTAGACTCTTTATTTTAGCTAGTCTAAATAGAGAGTCTATTGAAGCATGATTTTTGGTAATTGACTCTTAAAATAAAGAGTTTATTTGAGATGCTATAATTGAATACTAATAATTACTAAGAGATTATAAATGGTTAAAATTAAATAAACAATCAAGAAATATTATTAATAAATTTATAATTGAGTAATAATAATGAAAACATCATTTTATAAGTAGGTTTCTTATAAATTAATAATAATGAAAAAAATATTAACAAAGATCTAAATTTAATAATGTGGATGTGGGGGTAAGAGAATAGTAGGTGTGGGAGGAGACTGGGGAACATGGGAGGTCAAGGCCGTTACACGGAAGCTTAGTTTTTTGGCTGGAAATGAATAAAATGTTAGTACTTTGCCTCGGTGGTGCCAGAATCTATGGGTTTGTTGGATTTAGGAGGGTATGAGATAGGGTATACCCTTTGCCCTAGAGAGATTAGGAACCTATTGTTGGAAATAATGGTATATTTATTTTTAAAAAAATTATTAAGTAGTGAAGGAGAAATTATTAAAGTTTTTGTGACTTTTGGGAGCAATTGAAAAGATCTGAAATAAATATAACATGAAAAACTACTAATTCAAAATTGGTAACTTTTAGTTAAAGATACAAATTCAAATAGTTACATCTTTTCATAAAGTAGCTATTAATATTTTTTGGTTAACAAATATTATTACAAATAATCACAATTTTTCATAAATTCACCATTGATACACGTTGAACTAAAAAGTACCCTTTATGAAAGGGCACATGTGAATTTATAATTATGTGATTCCTTGTACTCTCAAAACATACCATCAAACAATTCAAGAATTCATTTCTCATTCTAGTTCTCTCAGTTATCCAAAATACTGAATGAAGTATTCAATCTTTCTTTTTTTTTTCTCTCTCTCTACATTTTGCTACATTATTATTTCAAGTTCGGTACAAGTATAAATAGAAAATTGTATTCGTTGGAGTCTTGGAGATTTAAGTATTGTATATTCAAGAACAAAATGCGTTCTATCTTAGGAGACAGTTGTTTATTAACCTTAAGCACCGAGAAGAAGTAAATATGTCTTAAGAAAACTGTGATTACACAGGACTCGGATAATTATTTTTTTTATTGGATTTCTAGATTTCTGATTTTTTGAATTTTACTATTCGTATTATTCTGCGTTAATGTAAATGGAGTGATTTGATTTCTATATATTTTGTTTAGATTAGTGCATAAGTTAGACTTTATACAGTTTAATATAATTTAATTATATACATATTTTTCATAACACCTATCTAGTTAGGGGTGTCAATCGTGTCATCCACCATAATACTGATCAGATTTTGATACAATTTTTATTTGGAAATGAATTTGACTACCCAGATATATATTAATATTTTGATCGATTATTTAGTCCGAATACAAACCTATTATACCATTTTTCACAAATTTAGATTTTAATATACTTGACTATGATTTGATCTAAATTATACATGAATAGATTATGAATTTTATGTATTTATCAAATGAAACTCTGTTGAAATCTATGTGTAATTTATTAAAATTCAGCATTAATTAAGCTACTCAAACGGAATTGGATATTCGGATCGAATATTTGATNCGTATGGAAACTCTGTTGAAATCTATGTGTAATTTATTAAAATTCAGCATTAATTAAGCTACTCAAACGGAATTGGATATTCGGATCGAATGTTTGATTGTTATCAAATTTAAATATATATGATCAAAATAAAATTTATCGAATGATTAAAAATGATTATTTGCTTCTCCAAGGATATTGTGTACTCTACGTGGAGGTAGAATTGATTTGGTAGATGGGTTATCGTGACCCAATGGGCAGTATACAGTGGCCTTAGGCTGGCATGGAACGTAGACTTTTGGTTTATTATGCCTAGAGCGTCAAATGTGTCGGGTTAATCAGTTATATATTAGATTAAATAATTATGTATCGGATTAAACGGATGACGGATAAAAAACATATAAACTCATATATGACCCGTTTAATAAATCGGTGAAAAGTCTCAACACGAACACGAATCATTTGATAAACAGGTAATACGACACGATTTGTTTAACCCACTTAATTTTAATTTATTATTAATTTATTTATATATTTTTGTGGCAGCAAAAGAAAAATGTGGCTATTACTAAAAATAATATATATATTTTTTATGTGGCTGTCACTAAAAAAAATGTCTAAAATTTTAAAATAATTATTAATTTATTATTATATTAATTTTATTTAAACGAGTGATAAATGAGTTGACAAGATTCACCAGAACACAACCAATTTATTAAACATGTCTAACGGATCAACCCGTTTACCATTCAAACCCGTTAGATCTCACTCAAACTCATTTAATTCGTGTCAATTTGTATCAATTAATCATATCGTGTCTAATTTTGATAGGTGCTTACGATAAACAGGGAGCCTTTTAGATATGGTAAGAGATTGCGATAAAAAGTACAAATTAATTGGTACGTTTTTATCCGCTTTTTTAAAGGACAGGTTTTTTAGAGATGGTATTTGGATTTGGACTTATTGTCTTCTTAGATTTTTAAGAATTTGGTATAATGTTGGCAAAAATATATTCAAAATATGCACATATTCTCTTTTGTGTATTCATAAAAAGAAATTTTGTTAATAAAAAAAAGCAACTTTGTGCTCTCTCTCTCTCTCTCTCTCTCTCTATATATATATATATATATATATATCTCCTTAAAAAAAAAAGCAAAAACAAGCACACCAGGTTGCTTGTTGGGACTTTGGGAGTAAGGCTAATAATCGAATCGAGCTACTCAACTCAAGTTTGACTCATTTTCAACTCGATTGGAGCTCGATTTATTTTCTAGCTTAGCTTGAACAATTTTTTATCCTAAACGTTCAGCTTGTTTATATATAAAATATTCAAGATACTCAAAGTTGACTCAATTTGGACACAGCTCGTTTATAATTTTTTAAACTCATTTAGAAAACAAGCTCGACAGGGTCAACTTGATTATCAATCCTAATCGGGACCATTCATATGCCCACATGAGCCCTAATACTTAGTGAGCAATGTTACATGAACTTAAAAAGTAAATTTCATAATTACAATTATTGATTTCACTGTAAATTCCAACATTTATTGAAACTTACTATCTATTCAATAAATGTGATTATCAAGTTTATTTTTTAAGTCTAATTTTTAAGTTTATGTAACATTACTCTTTTATTTCCTCAGTAATTTTACAATTTAATGCTATTTATATGAAAATGTGATTTAGGTCCATGTATTTCTATGCAAAAACTTGCATACAAAACATGTTGAAAAAAGCACGAGTTTAAAATATTCCTTCATTTAAAAAATGATAAATTTGAAAATGTGTTCAACACATGATAAAAATAGACAAATCCTTTTTACTAGTCCAAGTTAGATGAAATCAAAAATAAACTCAGGTTTGGAATGTTCAACTATCTTCATGTGTCATTGGACCGCATTGACTATAATACAAATTCTAAATACACACAATACTATATCAATTGTAGGATTAGCCCGTTCCAAAAATTATGAATAAGGGGTTACAAAAGTTCCATCTCATTGATGTCGGAAAACGAATCGATATCTTGATGGGATACAACTTTTTTTCTTTATAGTCGGGAAAGAACGGTGAAGTCCATCCGAACCGTTCATAGGATAAAAATATATTTTCTTTGAAGTCCTTATACTCGTTATGCCTAGTATTAAATAGACTACATATTCACCTTATCAATATCTCAAATCAAGGACGGTTCATGTTTTTGGTACCTAAATGGGCACCCAAAGCATTTGAGCTTTTAGCTTTTAGCTTTTAGTAGGCCAGGAGCTTGGAGATTTCTCTGTTCTACAAAAGAGTTAGGGACATGCCTTCAACTATTTTCAACAAAAACATTCAGTCATTGTCCTTAATTTTCATATCAAACAGGGATGTTCTCCAATTTGTGGTTTGATAATTTGTCCACTCCTACCCCATGAAGAACATATCTCCAAACAATAACAATGTTGCGGTGTTTTTCCAACTTCATTTTCTCCAACAATTGTTTTCATGAAAGCGTGGTTTAACCTGACGCTTTTCAATATGAAAATGAGTTTAAAAGGCTTTCAAAACATGAAGCTACAGTAAACGTGGGTTTAATGTTTTCAGTAAACATCAGTAGAGTGGTAAATTACTTAGAAACAAGTGCAAAAAAAGATATATAATTGGAAAAGGGCAGTAATATGTTCAAAAACTCAATAAATCCCAGTAGCTTTGATGAAGAAGCCAGTGGGCGTATGGGATCTATGCCTTTTGTTCTTGCACAGACTGATTAACCCCTTTACTCATTCTAGGAAACAGCATATCATTTCACTCCCTCTGGTTTGCAGAATAATCCCTCCAATTATACAGAGGATGACACACACATACACAAGAGGAGTGAGAGAAAGCAAGAGAGAGTATAGATTGACATGTCTGTTTCAATGACTTGAATCTCTAGCATATACATATTTTTTTGTGTTTCTCGTTTGCATTCCTCTTTTCTTTCAAGAAGAAAGCAATTATCATGCATGATTTCCTAGCCCTCGAGGAAATTCAGGCTCACAAGTCCTTCAGCACTGTGATTAATAAGAACTAGGTAAGACAATTGCCTATTTTGTTACCTGGCTAAAGTTGAAAATGGATCGGGAGAGCGAGAGACTCTTCACGTCCCCATATCAAACATTTTCTGGGAAGCTAATCAGCTTCGTTCCTAATTCATTTCAGTGTTTGCTTCACTGGATATAATCTTCATAGTAATCATCATTTATCAGAGAGACAAACCTTTCAAGCCAGGGAAGTTGATGGAGATCCTTCATTGCATCCACATAAGAGTCTGTACATCGGGGCGGGGATTGGCAAGGATAGTGGTCACTCAGACCGAAACCCCCAGCAAGAAACCTCTGGATCAATGCCAGTTGTGATCTCTCTTGGTCTGAGTAGGCATCCATCATCATGGGGAGCAAGTCAAAGGAGTCCCAAGCCCATTGTTCGTATTGTTGGGTAGGTTGACTGACCAAATCTTGGGAATATTCTTCATCCCAGAATGTACATTGACAAGTTTGTTCGCCATCCCTGTACTCTGCACCACAGGAATAACAAAATTTGTGCCCACACCTGCGGATGAGAAGCACATAAGAAAGTCACAATTAAGAACTTTAAACAGATGTCAGTGTAACACAAGAAATGTGGAAAAGAGGCATCAGGGTTTCATAATCCTAAGTCTTCAGACATTTTTCGAAATATTGAATATTCACGAGTTATATTCTACATCCAAATTTTGGAAATAACTTATAAGAGAACTCGTATGCAAGCTCAAACAAAGTATGCATGCAAGCACAGAGACAGTATGCAGAATGCACATATTAAGAATATCAAAACTTACAAGAACACTAAAAAGAGATTTGATCAATCTTTCATTCAGAGGCCAAAACTTACACATTATCAGTGCTATCAAGATTTCATATATACAGGAATTCATACAAGCACCCAATCATGGGTGCACATAGTACACACATTGTAAGTATCAGACTGTATCAACATATAGGAACACTTCCGTAATTTGATAAATATTCCTTCAAAATGTAATTTCATCAGATGGCTCACTCAGTCAAGCTCTTGGCAAAAAAAAGATTTGAAGGCGCTCCTTAGCTAGTTCTGTATGTTTGGAATAATTTAATCCTTTCTTTATTGCATAAATTTGCATATTATTCCTTCCCCCAATGCAAATCAAGCGATAGAAGAGCTTTGCATCACTGTGCAGATCATTTACACCAGAACACTTTCATATACTGTTTTCTAACACAAGATTTCCTCAAACCCATCTGCACTGGTAGAGGACAAATTGCCTCGTGACTCTTCTTGGTTGCCTTTTTTCTTTCAGACTGTAACTTTTCTTGGTTGAGACCAGGGGGTGTTTTCTTTAGGCCAAAAAATTCTTAACAAATGACAATCAAAACATACAAAATACACAACTAACTATTCTTTTGCAACTATGAATGGAGAATTAAGCCTTTTCGTACAGGTTATCAAACTAAATATGACATTTAAAATATAGCCAAGGAAGATGATCAAGAGATTTTGAGCACTCCGTTGAACTTTTTTCTACTTTGATGAGATGTATTAACAGGTAACGGATGGCAGTATATCTCCTTTTAATGGAGTAGATCAGCAGCAAAGTTCCTAATATTTACAGAGACCTACAACTTAATAACACATTGCCCAAGACAGAATTAACAGCCACTGTCCCTATATTATTTCTATACATAAACCACACATATAATATAGAACCTTCTAAATCAATTTTCATAGTTGAATATTGCGAGGATTCAGATATATCTGATTGAACCAGTGGTATCTGCTAACAGGAGAGGAGCTACAATTTCCCAAGTGGGTGTGCCAACTACGAGTTGGGTTAGTAAAGGATAGTTAGGGCCATACTGAAAATATGCAAAACAAGAGGTGGTGAGCGTAGTAATTTTTGAATAAATAACATAACATAAAATGTTAAAAGACACTTATAAAAAACTTAGGGGGCCATAAGCCCCTTGGTAATAAAGTCGCTCTGGCAGCGTCTGCTTACTAATCATGTTTCAAACTACATTACGCATAAAATGGGGGCAGCTTCCTTACTCTGTGTTGCATGCATAGCTTTCTCTTAATAAATGACAGTTTACTCCCCATCCTCCACTCACACCACTCCAACCTCCAAAATCAGAAAAGGAAAAAGAAAATAAACTCTGACAGAATGACGGGAACATTCAATTCTAATTCAGAAAATATGATTGTCAACAACAAAATGACAGCATACACTTTGTAAACACGGGCACAAAAGATTGCATAAAGTGCTTCTAACTTTGCCTTGGCTCATTATGTTTGAAGCCTCAAATAAAACCCTTCTCTAAATTTGAAGCATCCCCGGTGTTTAGGGCTGCTACCCCAGATAAGCCATCAAGCAAGCTTCTAAAGGCTTTTAAACAGTAAGCATGTAAGCATATCATAAGAAAATGATCTTACCCGCAGGTCATGCGGTAGCAACCATGGGTAAGCTCAATCATCCTCCGGCACAGTTGGCAACGCTTCCATCTTTTATTTTGTGCCAGCCGATGCAAAGTCATGTTGCCAGCATCTCTCTCGTCCAATGGGAGGTTTTGATACTCTTCACAGCTCATCGAAGAATGCCAAGGGACCTCACATTCCACGCAGATGAATCTTTGGCAAACTGGGCACTCCACACAACTATTGTCTGAATGAATTGATGAGCTTGCCCTGGTGGACAAGCATTGACGTGGATCAAGCAGAACTGAACAATTAGGAAAGGGACAGTACATTTTATCCGAGTCGAGAACATTCGCCTCTGCAAGGGCTCTCTCCAATGATTCATAAGAGATAACTGGCAGAAAAGACTTGCACTCTGTGGTGGAAATATAGTACTTGCATCTCAACTGAGGGCATCTAGTGGGCACTTGAGAGGACTGTACTTTCCCATCGACATATGTTTTCAGACAATGGGAACAGAACTTGTGGGAACATTTAATTGTGATCATCATTGAAATTGGCTTCTCCTCGCAACAGATTGAACAGGTTTCAACTGATTCACTACTCTTGGCAGAAGGAGAGACAATCCCAACTGCCACTTGGGCCAACTGCAATGCCCTCTCAACATTGATATTGGGGACAAATTTCAGAACAAAGGCTTCCAAAGCACTGGCATGTTCTAGGACCCTTTGCCTCAATGCCATGAGAAGCGGACTATCAAGTCTCTCCTCAAGTGTTATCTGAAAGATGTTCATATCACCTTGAAAAGTATGAAACAATGAAACATACAAGAAGTCCATGTGCAAAATGAAGTGCCACCATGCTAAGATGTATGAACTATTACAGGAAAATATATCCTTAAAATTTAAGTAGTTAACATCAAATATCGATTTGAAAGCAATTGATCAAAAAAAAAAATTATCCATGCAAGTGTGCATTATGAAACAATGGAACTCAATAAGATTGGTATTTCAATCACATTGAGCTGACATAAGTACAACATAAAGAAGTAAGATGTTCAAATTTTCTTTTCTCATAATGTGATCTCACAAATATTTATCCTTTGATACCAAAAGATGAAATAACAAAAGATATCCCGCCCAAAAACTCCAGTAGATCAAGAAAGACCAACAAACAAATGAGAAGACAATCAAAACATCATTTTAAGGCACTAGAAACAAAACAATGCATAGTACAAAAGACTTTATCATTCATAAATAGTGAGCAACTCTTATCTTGTGAAACCAAAGCTCCAGCAGCACAACAAATTGTAGCCATCAATACTCAAAGCAGATAAAAATGTATAAATAAGTAACATTTCTCTTGGAATGTGGGATTTCTTACCTGATCATATAAGATCTCAGAGTTGGTAAAAGCGAATACTCGCCTAACATTATTCTGCTGAGCCTCTAACAGGCCATCCATCAAAGCAAAATAATCAGCCACACATTCCTCCACATAGAAATCAAGCTTTTTCTGCACTTGAATAACAGGAGAAATAGTGGATCTTTCCATAATCACCCCAATTCCAGAGAGACCAGGTTCAGCTATGGATACACCCTTAAAGAATATATTTGCAGAAAATTCGTCCAGCTCATCTTTTGGACCTTCCTTAGTTAATTCTTCTCTCTCTATCAATTCCTCCTCATCTTCACAACAGCTGCGAAACTCTTCTTCATCATCTTCTATTTTCCCTTCTTTAGCCAAATTAGCAGAAGACCCATTACCAAGAACTGTTAGTTGCTCCATTACTGATAACTGCAGTTCCAAATACCCACTACAACCCCACCACTCTAATGCTTCAACAAGAGATTGATATCGAGATCTAAGAAAAAAAACCACCAACAATCTGATCAAAAAATTCCCAGATTTACCATCACCTTTTCCCAAGAATCAAAGCAAAAACAGGAAAACATCAAACAACAATCTTTCACCTCCTACTTTTGAACCAAATTCTAAGCAAAACCAAATCTCATAAAAAGAGACCACTATATATATAGAAAAGATAATTCAGCTCTTGTTTCTTCAACTGAAACTAAGAAATACCCAACAACAAATGGATCTAAAATATCCAACCTATAACTCCAATCTAACAAATTAGAACACCAAATAGTCACAGAATAAATTCAAAAGTCTTCAGCCCAAAAAAGTCTAATTTTTTGCTCTTCTTCCCAAATCAAAAGTCAACCCAAGAGCCGAATTATCATCAGTTCACTCGGTCCCTTCATATTTATTCGAAATTCCCACAAATCTATAAACTAACAGCATGATTAAAAAAAACGCATACAAATGAAAACCTGGAAGTGAAGCTTCCATACCACTATCTGCAGGAATTTGATCTGACTCCTATTCAGGAATCTGAGAATACTGTCCGCAAGGAACCCTAACCTGACTGCTGATGCTTTGTGTCTCCACAGAGCATTTTTTTCTCTTTGTTTAGGTAGAGGACGTGACAGGGAAAGAGAGAAAAAAAAAATAGAATAATCACTTACTGTTGGTGGTGGCGTAATTGTGTAATATAAAAACGAAAAAAGAAACTTCTTCTTGTCATGCTGGATTCCTTCTAAATTCTCCTCTCCTTCGCCAATAACACTATTTTTTGGAAAATAAAATAAAATGCTTTTTCTCTTTTGTTAATATATTTGGAGGTATTTGGATCCAAAACATATCATTTATGTAAAATTCATTCGACTTAATTTTTAGGGTTAATTACATTGAAAGTCCCTAAAGTATAGGATTTGTCTTATTTTGATCTTTAATATTTTAATTGTATCATTTTGGTCTCTGAAGTATTAAATATGTTTTGATGTGGTCCTTCAAGCAAATAACATCCAAATTGTTAACGATTTTTTATCATAAAAATTGTCACGTGATACATAAATATAGACAAAAAAATAATTTGATTAGTTCTTGACCAAAAACATGTAATATAAGTAGCTCTTAACCAAAATTTGGATACCATATAATCAAAACTGTGTAATTTAGATAGCTTTTTAACCAAAGTTTGGGTAAAAATTTGGTCAAGTATTATCCAAATTATTTTTTTCTCATATTTAGGTATCACGTGATAAGTTTATAATCAAAAAAATATTAGCAATCTGGGCGTTGTCTGCTTAAGGGACCACATATAAATATATTCAATACTTCAGAGATAAAAATGATGCAATTGAAATATTGAGAATTAAAATAAAACAAATCTCATACTTTGGAGACCTCAATTGTAATTAACCCTAATTTTTATTCACTATAAAAGAAATTAAAGATAACATATAGGGTGCGTTTGCGTTTGCATGGAAAGCGGGATTGGATAAATAATGTATAAGTCTATCTTTTCTCACTTATACCCATGTTTAGATATATATTTTAGATTCGGTATTATCACTATAAATAGTTCAAGGCCCGAATGAACATTATATTTAATACCATAAAAATCTTCTCAAATAAACTCACCTATTCGATAGGTTAAAATCCTCTAGTTGGGAAGTATTTGTATAAAATATATTTTTACTTCTGGTAAATTCAAATATAAATACCAAACATGTGGATGGATTGAACTAAGTTAGGGTTCTTGATAATTTTAATAGTTATACTCTATCCAAACAAAGGGTTGAATGGAATACGGGTGGGCTCACAACTTTTTAATACTTAAACCAAACAAATAATAAGGGGAATAGATTTTAGATTTTTTTTTTTTCCCGATTGGATGGGTAAAGGATAGATGAGTTCATCTAATCCGATCATCCCTAATACTTAAAACCAAACATAACCATAGTGATTAAATTCTTTACAAACGAATTGCAAATTATGGAGTTTACGTACGTCCAATCATAGTTAGTCACATCAATTTTGTAAACAAAAAAATTGTATACCTTTATGACATGTCATTTTATACAAAATTTTAAAGATTTGTATGTGTTTTATGTATGACTGTTTTGTTAATGGAGTATGTTTCTGATTACACTATTTGAGAAAATCTTGAAATTTTAAGTTGAAGACATTCGAGCTTATTGTTGAAGCTGATAAATTTCTCTAGCTTATTATTGAGGCAAGTTATTAAAGAAAAAATCATTTCGAGGATTGACAATGAAAATAACATGTTTATCAGATCATATATTGAGATATTATTTTCTTGTTATATTACTACATTTTGGTCCATGTTAATATGATTATTATTTTTTGTAATCATAGATTGATCCTATATAAATAAAGGATGTAAATACTATCATGGTTCAAAAATAGTAGTTTTATTGCACAGATTTTGTTTGAGATATCGTCTCAGAACCATATTTGTTTTGTAATCCCATTGAGTTTTTTGTTTGTTTAGACCAAGAGTCAATTTTTTTTTAAAATATTTTTTATTTTTAAATGACTATAATTAATGTTGCCTAAGTAAAAAAATGTTGAAATTTTTTCCATATTAGACTTCCATTAATTAATAGTTAATTTGAGTTTGTGAAAAATAGACTGAATTTATAGTTCAATGAGATGAACCCGATATTGTTAAGTAGTCTATTTTGATGGGCTTATGTACATTTCTTTAACTAATATAGTTGAGACGGTTAAATATATGTCTTAATCTACTTGTGGCCCGTAATGGGAGAGCCCATTAAATTCATTATAAATAGTNGTACATTTCTTTAACTAATATAGTTGAGACGGTTAAATATATGTCTTAATCTACTTGTGGCCCGTAATGGGAGAGCCCATTAAATTCATTATAAATAGTAGAGGACTTGCTCTCTCCACTTTATAACCTAATTTTTTGGTTTGTTACATTGGGAGATGTCTATTGCTTTGAAGAAGAAGAGGAACACTTTGTCCTTTCGAGAAAGAAATCAAGAAATCGAGTATCATGACTCACATATGTATATTCTAAACCTTGAAATGTAGGTGTTCTAAATTTCATATACGAATCATTAATAATTTCTTACATATCGGAACTCTCTTGAGCATTGAATATACCAATAACTCAATATTGTTAACAAACAAATCAAACAATTATATAGAGTATAAAACTTTGCTAAAACATTCAATTAATCTTGAAAAAATAAATATTTAATATTAAATTCAAAAAAAAAAAGAATTGCATAAACAAAATATCTTAATAAACAATCACAAATCCATACTCCAGGCTAAAACGTACAAAGAGTACTACTCATTGGTCATAGGTAGATCTAAAAATAAAAAAATAAAAAAAAATGTAGTAGATGAGATCTAGAATTATTCTCTCTAAATAGAAATAGTCTATATTTATACTATGGAGGTTAAGGTTGACCTTGGAATAAGTCCTTGCCAAAAAAAAAAAAAAAAAATAGTACATTTAGGTCAAAACACATGCATCATATCTTGAAGGCTCGTCCTGGATAACATGATTAGAGGTCTATTCACGAAAGTTTCATGAAACATGTTTTTGTGATTTTTGGGATCCTCTTTCCAATGTCATATACAACATGTCAATCGAACATTAAAGTCAAAAATTATAACCAACATTCTAAAGATGTGTCAAAACTTTATCTTTTAAAATCTTTTTCTAATTTAATTCTAAATGAGAGTTCTACTAATTTGGACTCCCACAAGACTTAAATTAATATATTATCTTCAAATCTTCATTTTTTAATCTTGATCTTTTAATCCTTATCAAATTGCTTTCCCACTATGACCTTTTCTCTAATGTTTGTTTCATTTGTCTTGTCTATTATTACTTTAAATCAATCAAATTATCTAAAAAATAAATCAAATAACTATAATAAGTATTAAGTTGGAAAATTAAGAAATTTAATGTATTTAATCTCAAATAATATTAATTAATCAATCATTAAATATAATAAAGTAACATTTTTTATGGTTAAGCACACCCTCTCAACCTAAATATTACTAGTCTCTAGTAATATATAAATTTCAAAAAAAATAAAATAAAATACAAATTCATTTTCGTAGGACTCACGATTGAATTTAACATATGTAATAAACATTTAAACTCCTAGGTTGCTCCTAGTAGATGAGTTATAATCTCGTGAATGTTTTCAGAAAAAATACCTAGAAACTTTATTTAATTTATTAATTATTTGAATCATACATATAACTTAAATCAACCATTAAACCAAGAAAACATCCAATTGTAACACAAATAGGTCAAGCAAAGTCACTTCATATGACTAAATGCAATATAATAATATTCAAATATAGAATTCCCATTCAAGCTCGAGTGTGGCGTAAAACAACTATGTAAGATTAGAAATTTAGTCAATAATACTTCACCCATTTAACCATTAACGGCTAGCTTTGATACAAACGTTACCAATGTATACACTCAGCAAAGAATTCACTCTAATTACAATGATTATTCACACTTTATAATATTGTATGTGAGTAGAATTAATGAAAAACAAAAGAATAGATTACTCATAAGCATTCATATCAAATGACCATTATTTCAATGAAAGAGTTTGATATAATCTCATGAAAGGGAATCAATAACATAGATTACAAAATAATCACCAATCTTCTCCTTATTCACATAAGTCATGTATCAACCAACACACTCTTGAGATCAAATAAATATTTTTTTTATAGTTGTAATGGGGCCTTGGGATAAGAGCTTCTAAAATAAGGGATATTTAGGAATTTAAAATATTATCTCGAGAGAACATTACTTTTGTCAAATATATTTTTCAACTGTTTTTCCTTCTTTTCTTTTTTCATCATTAAGAAACACAATTTAATAGCACAATCTCGTACTCATCCTCTCTTCTTTTTCTTTTTTTCATAAACAATTTTTTTTTCTTTTTCTTCTTTTTCAACAACAATACCTTTTTTTTTTCCTTCAAACTCAACATTCTACATATATATGTTCTTTTGATAGCATAAGCATGAGAACTTCACTTTTCTATCCATTTTTTTCCCTTTTTCATAAGCCGCCATTATATTTTTAGCTTGGTTATTATATTGGACTTAAGAATACAAATTCATATAAAGAAGCTCAATCATGACTTCTAGTGATAATTAAAAAAAAAAGAATAAGGTTAAGGCTCAAATTAAATCTAAAATGGTCTATAATCATGTCTCAAGTATTATTGGCAAACTCACTTCAAGTGAAAACAATTCAGAAATATA